CGTTCCATTACTGTTATCTTCCTCCTCTTTCACAAACCATTCAAAATAAGCTTAATTGTTCTTTTCAGACACATGTCTCTAAAATATGCTCCTTCCTCTTCTCCTCTCCCAGTAACGATGAGACCTGTTTTATCATTTATTCTCAGTCATTTTTTCTGTATGCTAATGATTTAAAGGGTTTTCACCATGTTATTTGATACACATATATACAGTGCATTAATCATATTGACCCCCTCAATTACTCTAACTTTTTCCATTCCCCCTACCCTCTGTTATTCAATAGCTTTTAGTGAGTTCCATTTTGCCACTTTCATTCATGGATGTAAACGCATTTAGATATTGTTAATATTCTGGCATTCTTTTGCTTTCCTTTCCAAGTGCCCCCAAACAGTCTCACAACTACAAACAGGTTCAGCTCTATGTGCACATCTGTACATATTTATGATCCTCTGTGTGCTTAAATACGCACATATGACAAAAAATGTGATCATTGTCCTGAAATTAATTGATTTCACATCATATGACAAACTTCAGGAAATGTCCAATTCTTAATCACTTTGAAGAACACTTGTTTTCAGAATACCTGGTGATCATTGCTATTGTTCCTCTGTAATGATTATACCCTTATACACATAAAAAGATATATTTGTATCTAATAATGAGGTTTTGAATTTGAATCCTCTTACATTCTTGCTGCTCACTCTTGCTAATTTTTGCACAAAGTACATGTATGAACACCGCCTGGAGCTTACTAGATGCCTTCTTTAGCTCAATCCATTGAACAAACAGTCATTTTAACTAGAGCCACAACTGATCAATATGCTTGTTAAAATCTCAGAAGCACTAGCATACATATTAGATAGATTTCTTTTGGCAAATTTCAAGAACCTTCAAAGACCCAGTTTCCTCATTGAAAAATAATGCTTACTAAACCACAGTATTAGAAGGAACAACTAAATAATGCTACATAATAATAAACACTCAATAAAGTCTACCTGATATTAAGTTCTATCATCTACCTGTGATTTACCCATTCATGACTTTTGTGCCATATTTTGTATAAAGTTACATTGGTACAATACTCAGATAAATCAAAGCTCCTTTAATCCAGGTTCCTTACTGAATACAAGCCTACAGCAAAAATAGACATGAATTAATAACACCATCTTGCTTGCATTCATTTACAACAAAATGTGGCACCTGTTTTACAATTAAACGTATTTCTCTACTAAATAATGTAGTTTCTATTTTTTTGTAGAATCAAAGAAGTTCAATAAAGAATTTGGTATGAAAACAAACATAAGTGTGTCTTGTAGATATAAAATCTAAATAATGGGGCTGGGAAGGTGGCTCAGTGGTAGAGTGCTTGTCTTGCATGCATGAGGCCCTGGGTTCGATTCCTCAGCACCACATAAGCAAAAGAAAAAAAAAAGCCAGAAGTGGCGCTGTGGCTCAAGTGGTGGAGTTCTAGCCTTGAGCTGAAGAGCTAAGGGACAGCGCCCAGGCCCAGAGTTCAGGCCCCACGACTGGACCCCCCCAAAAAAATCTAAATAAATAATGCTATACTAATTAGCCCCATGCCTTCTATATTCTGAGAACATGTACTTAGATGGTCACCAATACACACAGGACTCAAATAATATACCAAGTGCCAGATCTGAAACTATAAAGGAGTCATAGGAGTTTCAAAAGGCTTCCATTTTAACTTAATTCAGTCAATATACATAGTTTCCTTCTACCATCTTTGCCATGGCACTTTGATAGTTGGATTACCTGTTACTATATCTACAAAAATAAAAAGCAATTAAGAAAAATTACAATATATAGAAACATTTTTCAGCTAGCACCAAATATTAGTCAGTTAAAGATAAAGTACCTGAGTTTTACTAGGCAACTTTTTGTTGCAAACATTTATATGACTAAATCTTTCACAGCATATAATCCCTAAAATCAAAGATAATAATATCTTGAATTCTTCATTCCTGACACTTTATCTTATCATGGATTACTGCTATACCTGATACATGTTTAAATTAAATACTTCAACTGCTATCCACATGGAATATTTCCTAGACACTCTTGTCATATATGCAATATCCTATAACCTTAAGAATCATGGCAAAATGAGTTATAAGTGCCTGACATGTGCCTAAGAAAGCATGAAAAATGTTGAGGGTCAAAGTAATATAAAGCTAAAGATCTGAACCATAAGGAACGAATAAACAGAAAATAATGGGCGATCTTGGGACAAGTATCTATTAGCAGTAAAGAAATCTATAGAAAGAAAAGACCTCAAGTTAATCTCTTATATTATTTCTAAGGAAACATCCATAAAATCTTTGTAAAAATAAATAAATAAAAGAAGCCTCTAATAGCAAAAATATAGTTTAAAAATAGAAGGAAAAAATCCGGGAGCTGGTGGCTCACGCCTATAATCCTAGCTACTCAGGAGGCTAAGATCTGAGGATCAAGGTTCAAAGCCAGCCCAGGCAGGAAAATCCATTAGACTCTTATCTCCAATAAACCACTCAGAAAACCAGAAGTGGCGCAGTGGCTCAAGTGGTAGAATGCTAGCCTTGAGCTGAAGAGCTGAGGGACAGCGTTCAGGCCCAGAGTTCAAGCCCCATGACCAACAACAAAAAAAAAAAAAAATAGAAGGACAAATAACACATGTTACTAATTGTTCCAATTTAGTTTTAGTCAGTAAATCCTCATCCTTTTGGAGACTTTCTTAGATAAACACATTAAATCTATAAATTTGGCTAAAAAACTAATGGTTCAAGAATACTCAAGATTCTTCAGACCAAAAGCATGATGTGACACTTTGCTTTTTATATAACCAGCTTGATAAAGATCAGTTCTTTACATAGTTTACTTTTCCCTAGTGATCTCTCGGGAGAAGATGGTCATGGCTGATCAGTAGAAAAAAGTTAATTTGAATTGTAGCCTAAAATTAAAAACTAGCATTACTTTCAAGTGTATTAAGTATTTAAATGTGAAAAATGTAAGTACTTAAATTTTTTTAATGTGTGCACATAACATTGAGGTAGGGAAAGACTTACTAAACAGTACACCCAAAAGAGTAATAATTAAAGGAAAACCTGACATTGCCTGTATATAATTAAGACTTTATTAAAACGCATGATAAAGATGATGGGCAAGCAACAAAACAGAAAATAAAGAATATTTACATAAACTAAAATAAACTAACAGCATGTGTAAATTCAATTAATTACCTTTGCTTTTAGTACCATCAATGTCAATAGAAAATTCAGAAAATAATAATCTATAAATTATCATTTGTACGGCACTCTGGATAACATGGTAAAATCTTGTTTCTATGTAGGATTTGAATCATCTTTTTGTCTACCATATCCACACAGTATGCTTCCTCCTTCCTGATAGTTATTTAGTGGGATAGCCATTCTGGTTAGTAAATCAGCAGTCAAAGTACAGCAATGCTTATGTTTACATAATCTGTATGAAGTAGCCTAATGTCACATCACAGTCCCTACAACATTCACTTCCCTTCATTCGTCGTGTAACAATCATAGCACAGCATCTTACAACTTTCCAAAAAGAGACAGTACAGTAAAATAAAATATTTGGAGAGAAAGAATGAATACATCTCTATAAGTTCTATTACAGTAGATAGTTATCAGTGTCTTATTATTAGCTATTATTGTTCATCATATTTTTAATTTATAAACTAAGCTTTATTGTAGCTATGTGAAAATAGGAAAATATAGCAGTGTTGGAACTATTTTTCCCTAAGTTTTTTACTGAACAATGCAACCAACCACTGATCAAAACTAATAAAAAAAGAAAGAAAGGAAGATTGCTTTATGATGAATATGTACCATATAGATTTTTTTCTATTATTCCTTAACCTGTATAGTAAAAATAGTTACATGGCTTTTTTATTGTATTAGATATTACAAGTAATATAGAGATGATTTAAAGTATACAAGAGAATGTATTGTATTATCCAGAAATACATTAATTAGTACAAGGAGCTTGTGCATCTGTACATAGGAGGTTCCAAATCTACAGTGAGACAATCCCCCATTGATACTAACAAACATTATATAGGTTCTAGTACTGTTCGGTTTCAGACACCCACTGCAATTTTGGAACATCCCCCCCAGTGGATAAGGCAATATAAATAATAGAAACATAGTACTGGAGAAAAAAAGGGGTCTCTGAAGACTATGCACAAAACATAATGTGAATAAAGCTCAAAAATAGGCAAAATAAACAGTATCTTGTTCAGCAAAACAGTTATATAATAACCTATTTAGATATAAGCAAAAATTTAACATGGTACCCACCTCTTGTAGAAAGGTGGATTGATAAAATGAAAATACTATTGCGGAGCTACTGGAGAGAGAGATATCAAAAAATCAAGGCCAATCTAGGCAAATGTTAGTGAAATTTCACCTCAACAGACAAACTCTATATATGTTTTATATCTGTAATCCCAGTTGCATAGGAAGATGGGATAGGAGAATCTAGTCGGTAGCTGCACTTGAGCAAAAAGTGTAAGACTCTATCTGAACAATAACCTAAAGCAAAAAAAATGTGGCTCAATTGGTAGAGTGATTATCCAGCAAGTACAGGGCCCAAGTTCAAATCCAAATACTATCAAGAAAGAAAAAAATAATGAGCAACACAGTTTAAAGGTGCTAGTAATATTCATGGGTTTTATGTGAATAGATTTAAACATTCATTTACTATTATGTTGCAAATATTACTATTATGTTGCAAATATAACCATTAAATAGATTGCAAAAATGTAATAGTAATATAAAAGCAAAATAGCATTTTGTGAAAAGCTATCTAATTACTTGCAATACCTCAAGAATGATATCTGATTCTGTTATGAACAAAGTTATCAAGGTGAAGAAAAGGCATTAAACAAAGTATTCAAATAAAACAAATTTTAAAATGTAAGTAATAAAGCAAAGACAAATGATGGAAAATAAGCCCACAAAACTCACCACGAGGGCTTTCGATCTGTTGCTGAGAAGTTTCTCGATGTCTCTAGCTGCAATTTCTACCAGTTGCCGTGCATTGTTTGGTTCCACAGTATACATATCTTGATATTTTTCATAAATCTGTTTAAGTGGAGAAGAAAATGAATAAGAACAATAATTATTTAAGCCATAAATTCCTATTAGGATGTATTTAAAACAATGTAGAAATTTGATGTATCTATAACCCTACAGTAAGTACATCACCTTTACAATAAAATTTAAATTAAAAAAAAAAAAGAAATTTGAAAGAGTCACCCTTTTCTTTCTACATTTTCAAATTTGAATATACCACTAAGGGAATATAAGTTAGTATACATTTGCTGCAATACTATTAGCTTGCTAAAATAGTAGGAAAAGGGGCTGGGAAGATGGCTAAATGGTAGAATGCTTGCCTTGCATGCATGGGTTCGATTCCTCAGCAGCACATAAGCAGAAAAAGTACAAGTGGTGTTGTGGCTCAAGTGGTAGATCACTAGCCATGAGGTGAAGAGCTGAGGGACAGTGCCCGCGCCCAGAGTTCAGGCCCCACAGCCTAGTGGTTTATTGGAGATAAGAGTCTCACGGACTTTCCTGCCCGGGCTGGCTTTGAACCACGATCCTCAGATTCCAGCCTCCTGAGTAGCCAGTATTATAAACGTGAACCACCAGCACCCAGCTTGTGATAGGGAAGGTTTTACTCTAGAGAGCCTTTCCATTGTTCTCCCTTTGTGAGAGAGGGATGGATGGTGGATGGGTGGATGGATGGATGGATGGATGGATGGATGGATGGATGGATGGATGGATGGATGGGTGGATAATTTGATAGAGACAAATATAACAGAAAGATGATAGAAACATGAATATGAGATTTAAGTCCTGGCAAGTTTCATCAAGGCACCCCAGAGAGCTCCCAACTCACTTCACACAAAGAGGAGTTAAAGATTATTGAATGTGATTGACGTCTACATTGAGTTTTGGTTAAAAGTATAATGGTGCATTTCTTTGGTTTTTTATCAACTTACATGGTTACTGTATGTGTACATCTTATTTAGTCACTAAGTATACCACATCAAAATTAAACTAGATGGTAAAATTAAATTCAGCTTCATTTCTGACTCACATTGGCATCTGACTATGCCTTCTCTAGTGGTGTCAGATGCACCTGGTTTCCATAGTTAGTAAAATCCCATCAGGAACAGGAGAATTAAAGTGAGGATGAAGGCAGGGAGCAGTGGCAGTGTTTGTGACTGGAGGATTGAGCTGCAAAGGAAATCCCTTCTGCACAGAACAGATGGGGTGCACATGCATGACTACACCATGTTTCAAAGCCAGTAACTGGCAGGTTCTGATAGTCTTTTGAGAAGTGAATCCAGGCACACATTTGAAACCTGATAAACCATGCATTTCTTTGGCACAACTCCAGCACTCTGCTCTACTACCAACAGGTTCCCCGCCTGGTCCCAGCTAAGCACTGGTTACTAGAGAACACATATGTTAACATTTACGTATCACAAAGTATTTTAATTTTACAATGACTTGTAGCTTTTAAGAGAGTAATACATTAATGGATTTACATCCATTAAGAGTATTTTAGTCTTAAAATTGATCCATTCAAACTATTTAAACAGTGACTAGGTCTATTTTCATTTCAACTAACCAAGTCATATTAAGTGAAATAAAAACCCCAGATATCATTTCCTCCAGCATTTCTATATATCACTGGATGGCTAATGTTTTCATGGGGCAGATCATGGAGTCTGGTTTTAAACACAAAGTTATCTATGAAGAATTCTAATCAATACTAAGGGCTCTCATTTCAGCCTGGGATGGAATTCTGGAACATCAGTTCTGGAATAGATTAATTGATTTAGGTTACAAATAGATAAACCTCAACATCACATTAATTGATCCAGTATATGTAGCACTTTGCAGTAAAACTAATAGAGCTAATTGGTGGGACACATAGCTGTTCTTTGCACCATTACTGTTCTGTGCATTTCTCTGCAGTCTTAAGAGTCAACCTTCTGGGTTGGGAAGGTGGCTCAGTATTAGAGTGCTTTCCTTTCATGTATGAGGCCCTGGGTTCAATTCCTCAGCACCACCTCAGCAGAAAAAGCTGGAAGTGACTCTGCGGCTCAAGTGGTAGTGCGCTAGCCTTGAGCTGAAGAGCTGAGGGACAGTGCCCAGGTTCAGAGTTCAGGGCCCACGACTGGCAAAATAAAATAAATAAAGAGTCAACCCTCTTTTGTACGGTGCAGGAAGTAAAAGATGAACATTGTTGATGGCAATTCATTCACTTGTACAAGTGTACTTCACAGTGTACTACATAGAATATGTCATTTTATTCAACCACATGTCCCAAACATAAAACCGTGTTAAAAGAACCAATGTATTATAAATCAATATACTTTTTAAGTTTGTACCTACCCTCTCAAATGTATGAAAAATATTATCGCATATTTTCATTCTGTTATAACTTTTAAATGCTTAAGAAATAATAGGTTTGGGAGGCTGAATGTCTCCAAAGTTTGTGTGTTAAAAAGTTGGTCCCAGGGAGGTAGTGCAACTTTTGGGAGGCAAAGTCACTATGTCACTAGAGATAGTGCTTTGAGAGAGACATCTCTTTCCTTTCTTCCTTCTGCTTCCTGGTCATGAGGAGAGCAGTTCTGCTCTTCCATTCACTCCTGCCATAATGAAGTATCTCACCACACACACAAAACTAAGAACCAATTGATTATGGACTCGAACTTCCAAACTTTAGTACAAAGGAACTTATTTTATTTATGTGAATTATCTCAACTATTTCATTGCACCAGAAAAGAACTATAAATCCTATGGATACAAATAAGATAACTCACAGTAAATGTGAAACATATAAAGTCAAGGAACTATAAGTCCAGTATAGACCCCAATATAAATATCTAGTTATACTATTTTATATAGAAATAAAAATTAGACTGTATTCTTTATTAATAAAAATGGAGTCAAGGGTCTGGGAAGGTGGCTCAGTGGTAGAGTGCTTGCCTTGCATGCATGAGACCCTGGGTTCGATTCCTCAGTACCACATAAGCAGAAAAAGCTGGAAGTGGCTCTGTGGCTCAAGAGGTAGAGCACTAGTCTTGAGCTGAAGAGCTGAGGGACAGTGCCCAGGCCCAGAGTTCAGGCCCCACAGCCAAAAAAAAAAAAAAAATGGAGTCAACATTGCATAACCAGCCTACCAAAAGAGTTAGCTTTTTCCCCCTAGTTCTACAAAACACAATAGTCTTTGTTACTGTGAAAGTTATTTTAGAACTCTCAAATATTTCCTAATATGTTTGATAAACAAATACGGGTGTATAGTTTCATGTATATGTTTAAGATTGCATGATACATCTTTATAACATTAAACCCACTTTTCTTACTATCACTAAAAAATTATGTCACAATATTTAATATATTGGTGTGTTAATATATAAAACACAGTCTAAAGTATTTTTTTCTTAATTTTCTTTCTTGTTTAAATGAATATCTGATTTGTCACATTATCCAGTTCCTTTTCTGAAAGAAATAACAGCATGGTGGAAATAAAATATAAGTTTTTATTGTGAGAATACCACACAGAGGAGTTACTATTACATGGGCAAGATGAGTATCTGTATGGTATTTTCACAATAAAAAATAATAATAATAGTTATCAAAATGGAAAAAATGATTGGAAAATTCAGCAGATGTCAGTCATTCTAAGTAAAAGGGATAAGTTGCAGGGCTCTTGAACACATTACATGGAAAATAAGATGCAAGTATTTCCCAGTTTTTTTTTTTAAACAGTATCTACAAACTTATGACGGAAGCAGCTATAAGTGAACCTGTGATTCCGATGACAATAAAGACAATAAAGAACACACTCAAACCCACCTCAATATATATATATATATATATATACACACACACATACATACATATATAAGTTTTTGGCACCAAATAGAGCTCCATTCAAATCCTGTCAATGTTCAACATGCTATGTGATATTGGGTTCATTTTTTTACTACTAGAAAGAATACAGTGTAGAGACAGAGTTGAAGACAGAATGTTCCCCCTCCTGACTAATTCTATAAACTTTTTCTTCTCCACAGTTCAACTCTTCCTACTGCCACCAATCACACAGCCTCAATAAGAAGAGTACTTGTCACCTGCACATCCATTCTTCTTAGAATCTTAACTCCTGTTAATGTTTTTCACTGCTTCCATGATCAGTCCTCACTGTGATAACATTCATTAGAATGTTATCTTGCCTTGTTCATTGGAATTTTATCGCAAATCTCACTACATCAAGTTCACAGCTCCAAGATAATTTTCAAAGTATTACATTTAAAATCACCACAAATGTAAAATGGCACAACTCATTGACTTAATTGTTTAAAAGTTCCTAAAGAAGTTCCTAAAGAAATATTTTGGTAATTATAATACTAGACATTATACTAGAAATTATTCCATGGAATGCAATAAGTACAGAAATATAAAGTATGTCTCCAAGTATTTGATGGCCCATAAAATTATTTTTAGTTGGTCTTAGGAAGCTTTCTTATATAATATATCCTATATCTTACATTATATATATATATATATATATATATATATATACAACCACATACATATATACATATACTGTTTATTCACTGTAAGAAACCTCAAAATTACACTTATAACCATGTATTAGGTTAGCTGAGGTTTTTGAATATCAGAGTGAGGGAAATTGAGTCCCATTTCATCGTAGGAGAGCAAATCACTATCCACAGCTTCAGTAGATGAAAGGCAACCTGATTAGTGAAATGGAGACTGCAAAGCCTCTCTGCACTTGACTTTGCCTTGGATTCAGCAGCATGGAAGAATCCAGAAAGTGAGAATGGAGCTGAGGGTTATGGATCATCACATCTGAGACACAGACAGTGCAGCAACAATGGTGAAAAGTAAGAATGGAGAATATCTACATGAAAGCAACAAAAGAAAGAGAAATATGCCCATACATCTCATCCCTTACAACTATATGCTGAAAAGCAAATTTAAGAATATTAGTAAATAATGAGTTTAAGAGGGAATTTTGATATACTAAATGCTTTATTGAT